TTGTACATCGTTGATGCAACTGTTTAGCTCATTGGGGTGAGTCGAGTTTACGCAGGTTGCACTTGCACCTGCTCGCGTTGGGTTTACACATCAGCGAACCCACAGGCACGGTAATGGATAAAACAAAGTCGAGTCCTTAGTCTGTGCTTAAAAGAAGAACGATCGACCGTTAAAGTCTCCAGTCAAGAGGATCTAGCACATGTCTCGTTAGGGACTTTGCAGCCGTTAAAAGTGGTGTTTTTTTGTATACACTTCCTTCAATAAAATTATTAATAACGGTGAATTTCACAGGGTTAAGAAATTCGCCATAAATAAAGCACCTCATTTTTAATCACAAATTTCGATAGAATCATCCAAGTTAAAAGTTCATTTTTACCAGGAAGGTTTTAGTTTTAAACTTGTTTAAAAAACGTTCGGCAATTTTCTTCAGAGACGACGAAGGAGAAGTTTATTAGCATCGATTTTTGGGTGCAAGTCATGTTCTTGCCAAGCAGATTCCTACAAGTCAACCATGCTCTAAAAATACCACGAGGAATGCTTTTCATCATTTACTAAAAGATTGGTAGGCTAAAAAAAACCGGATCAACGAAAAATAGGAATGTTTGGTCTGCACACTGATAATTACGAATTAATTAGCCTATCGAAGGTCAGGGTTATAAGCAGGGAAGGCATGATTTTCTTCTTTATTTTATGCGTATATATTATTTCGGAATCACCCTTTAAACTTCTCTCTCTCTCTCTCTCTCTCTCTCTCTCTCTCTCTCTCTCTCTCTCTNAAAAAAAAAAAAAAAAAAAAAAAAAAAAAAAAAAAAAAAAAAAAAAAAAAAAAAAAAAAAAAAAAAAAAAAAGGCCTTAAATAACTTTTTTGAATTGTCTTGATCGTGAATTCCGGCTTCGTGAAAATAGATTTAAAATAAAATATGTTGTTTATTAATTAGATATAGACTTTTATGACACAAACAAATCATCAAACTGTTAGTTATTCACTAGAATTAAATCTCAACTGATAATATTTAAATTTGGGAGACATGCGTGGACAATGAACTTATTTCGAATATATTTCGTGCCATAATTTTACCGCCTAAAGGTACAAAATAAATTATGCAATATTTTATTCTAAGGTTTGGCGAGTTGCAAATTTATTTATGAAAGATCATTGATTGGTTCTTTAACCAATTTTGTAATTAATAAACTTTTGTATTACTTAAGATAATTTGCTTGCTTCAAATCGCAATATAATTAATGGAAACTATTCCGAGATTGTTTTGACCGAATGAAGTTTGAAAGTTTGCTAAATTTGACCGAATTGTGAAAAGTCTTTAAGCCTTTATATCTTTTATCGTCGAATAAATAAGGTCATCCTAGCTAAGAGAAAATAGTAAAAAAAACAAATCACAAGCACTTTTTCAATAACAAGTAGAAAGTATGCCATAAATTTGCACCTCGCTTATGTATTATATTACATTTTTCTCTTTTTAGAAAATTTAGTTGCCTTTTTATAATACACAAATTGTAAAATTAAGTTGTGTTGATATTGTGGTAAATCATTTGCAAATTGGCGACAAGGCAAAGCTTGTGTTATATAAGTTTGAGGATTCGTAAACCAATTTCTTTTTCAATATATGAAGATGTGAATTTTTATTGAAATAACTCTTTTAAATTTAAAACTTCAAATTTGTTATTAGCCTTGATTAGATTCATGGCTTAATTTAAATTATATTATTATCTACGTAACGCTCTTTTATGTTTCGCTTTATATTTTTATATTTATTTAGAAATCGTGAGATGCGGTCTGGTGTGATGTAGGTTTCAGAAAAACATTTTCTTTATCGTGCCAACGTTTCGATCTTTATTGAGATCATCTTCAGGGGTCAAAGTGTTTGTCTTCTGTGTAATTGTGTCATTCTTGCGTGCCGTGACGAGAGTGCCTCATGTTTTTATGTTATTATGTGTTATGCTTTCCAGCCTTCATACTTTCAACTGTATATATTCCTAGTTTGACTTTTTACTATATTCTAAATTTGTATGACTCTTATGTTTAAAGGACCTATATCTTCACAACCGTCAGCTATGAGAATTATATTTTGTTCGTTTTAGTAATTCAGATATCGATTAACGGTCACTAATCTCTACACATTTGTTCGTTTTATAGATTGTTACATCTGTAAAACAATTACTACAGTAAAAAAGCTGTCTGTGTATCTGTTCCGTGAACATGCGTCAATATTTCAAGAAGTTATTCCATATGTCACATTGGTCTAAAACGTCTCATTGTCCAAAGTCTGATTCTCAGATGGAGATATTCCATTTTACAAGTTAGTTCATTTACAACTTTATTCCATGAAGCCCAACAAATCTGATAAAACGTTTATCCTACTATAAAGTTGATTACACCAATAGAAAGATAATTAACAAGACAAAATCACTCAGAAGATATAATTTTACGAGTTTGCAAAGTTCTTCTTTTAGGTTTAAGTAAGATTTTCTTTGTTCTTTAAGTACTGACAGATATGGTGCTTATAGGAACGTCTCCCTAATAATGAACTAGAAGCGCATGTACATAATTTATCTTAGAACAGGGCGTAAATAATGTTGAACATTTATTTATTTTATTTTTAGAAACTATTTGTTTTTCCTTATGTTCAATTTTTTTATCAGAAAATTTTTGGTTTTAGCTATAGTGCAATATTTTCATTATTTTCACTAATTTCGTGGTCCGCTTGACCAATTAATATATCACAATTAATTAAGGTTTTTTAGTTGAGATAAAAAAGTCAATGGCACGAGCGGGATTCGAACCCACGATCTTCGGCTAGATACGCTGCTGCTCTACCACTTGAGCTAACGTCACCTCGATCCACTCGGACACTAACTTCCCATCTCAACCCCACCTTTTGAATTTTCTTTTTGCCATTTTTCAAATGCCGAGTAATCGGATTGGATTCTCGACGCAAGTGTCCGAGTGGATCGAGGTGACGATAGCTCAAGTGGTAGAGCAGCGGCGTATCTAGCCGAAGATCGTTGGTTCGAATCCCGCTCGTGCCATTGACTTTTTTATCTCAACTAAAAAACCTTAATTAATTTTCATTATTTTTAATACAAGCTTCAAAAGTTTAATGAATAACATTTTTGAACAGTTTGTAACAAAAAGGAACCAACTTTTTAGCAATTAAACATTAATTTTACGTTAATAATAACTGACCTTTTGAGAAATTAAGTGCATGTGCTTAATGCTTATTAGTAGGGGCAACTTTTCTCTAAGCGTCACCATACATGTCAGTATTTACAGTCTTAAAAATCTCCTTAAATTTTTCTTAAATTTTAAACAATAAATTTGTAAAATCGTAAAGGTTTATCTTCAAAGTGATTTTGAACTTTGTTTGCATTACACCACAATAAAAAAATAAGCGAATCTCACTGGGTTTTCAATGTCCTTACATTAGAGCAATAAAATTTAAAGTATGATTCACATTTTATGAGATTCTTTGGATTTTTAGGAATAAAGTTGTCAATGTTGAAGAAAACAGAAAAGTGAAATATCTCGCATAAAATTGAAAATCTGACTTTGAACAATAGAGACCTTTAGTACAGTTCGACATCTAGGATAGGATAAGTGTTTAAAGACCTATTATTTGTATATTTGTATAATTATTTTTAATTTATATATTAAATACAGGTTGTTACGTCTTGGGCGGCCGAGGTGACCAGAAATATTGTCTCCTTCAAACGTGTTGTGTATATTGATGTATTGAGTAGTAAAATAAGTCTAATAAATCACTCTTGTGTTTTCAAGCAATGTTTTTGTCATTACTGTTTACAGCCTCTCAGTAGGGGTGTTTTTATTCGTCAGTTTCGTTCGAGATCTCGTATTTCTATAAGGTGTTTATCCGATCTAAAATGGAGGGAAAAAATTCATTTTCGGCATTCAATTTTTTTTTGTTATAGCAGAGTGGAAATCGCAGTTTAAAGAATTTTTTTGTGATATTTACGGTGATGTCGACCGTACTTGGTTTGCTCGGTGTAGGCAAAGCACTCTGAACTTACGGTAACTACTGATGATGATCAACTTCAAGTTTAACCTCACTCAACGATACATCGCATAAACACTGACCATATTGTATACAAGCGTTACGACGCTTTTGAAAGCTACTGTATATTCTTGTCGGAACTAGGGGTTCTTCTCTATTGACAGAAGAATTTAATTCTTCTCCTTGTGCGATTCTTTAAAAAAAAAAAAAATAAATAAATAAAAAATAAATTAATTAAAAAAAATAAAAAACTAGGCAAAAGTGTCTTTTTTACAATTTTCGGAGAGAAAAATCCTAAGAAAAACGCAGCGACCCACCGTTAATTCAAATAATAATAATAATTACATGAAGGCAACAGTCGTGGAACAAAATGTTTCATCTATTGTTGATTATTTTTTATAAAATTTACAACTATCTGAAATTTTTATTCAATTTACCATAGAAAAACGCTAATTGTGTTACCACTCTTATATGCTTTTCTAATAAATACTGTTGTTATTATTATTATACTATTACAGTGAGTTACAGTTCTTTTTTTCGTCAACGCTTGACTGAAGACTGAATTTCTGTCAAAATTGAATATTTTTCGAATTTTTTGAATATAAGCTAGAAAACTATAGGTCGGCTGTTTAAAGTTTTAGTTTCAGTAAAGGTTAACTACACTCCTAGATTTTTAAAACTGGATTGCAACAGCTATTTATCTAATCTATAATTTAAAAAAAAATAGTGTGGAAATTTTAAATTTATTTTCTGAATTGCCATAAATCATAATTTCGCCTTCCACCTAAAAGAAACGCTCATTGTATTTTATTTATTCATCGCATGTATTTTTTTTTATGTGATTGTGACTCGATTTATTCTTTTTAATCGTCCATACATCTGTCTAAGGTTGAATAAAAAAGATTAATCTACCTGGACTGTCACAGCTTTTTCATTTTAGTATTACTCCAAATTTCAAGTAATTTTACTTACCTTTGATGTTCAATAATCCATAGATAATTTGCAAAATGTTTGAAACACAAAAAGCCAGAAAAAACAATTGTCAGGAAACAAACAGAAACACGTTTTTCCCGCGAAAAGAGACGCAAACGCACAGAAAGAGAAGTAAATCGGCACTACCACGATGTCTTGTAGGCGACTGGGTACTGACTAGTGACTACTGACGGCCGACTGCGGAAGGCCTCTTTGTGGGGGGATGGGCGGTGCAACCCTTCGACCGCAGGCGAACCGAAATTCTTCGGCTCCTCTCTCCTTCCAAACCCTGTTAGGTTTTCGATTAATTGGGCCTTTTCACTTTTTCGCATAAGCTTGTGAACACTTTTTCCGTCGGGAGAAGACGCACGCGACTTAATTACACGAATGTAGAGCGTTATTGTCCGACGGCCTTTCACTTTTAACAATTGGTCTTGATGAGAACTAAATAAATGTTCGAAATGCTGTCAAGAATCCGTGGTGGATGGGAACAACTCTAGAAAAATGCAGTTGAGAATCATCGTCATGTCTCTAGTACCAGGACAGACCATGGGTAAAAAACAAGTTACTACATCGCAAACCAAATAAAAACAACTCACAATTTACAAACCGTTTAAAATGACGATTATCCAATCCGAAGACATAATTTTTGAAATAAAAATATCATAAATTTACAACAAAAGAGGCAAAAACTTATGTTTACATGGGCACAGCTTACAGGGGGAGACACAAAGCCTCATCAATTCACTGAGCTGCGAAAAAATTCTTTCCCTAATATATTTCTAACAGACGCGTATTGCAGCAGAGCATAAAGCCAAAGAAATTGGGGACAATCCAAAACACGTACGGCAGAGGTTAGGCAGACCAAAATGATTGGAAACGACCGAATCAATGTATCACACATCGCATACACAGAACATCATACAATTTACAAGCCATTTCAAAATGGCTATCGAATTAACTAATACTTAAAATTTGGAAAAAAATATCATAGAGTAAAGGCTATAACAATTTAAGAAGAGGCACTCTCAACACGACACGCAAGAATGGCACAATTACACAGAAGACAAACACTTTGAGCCCTGAAGATGATCTCATTAAAGGTCGAAACGTTGGCACGATAAAGAAAATGTTTTTCTGAAACTTAATCACACCAGACCGCATCTCACGATTTCTGAATAATATGTTTCCTAGTTTTGCGAAAAATCTAAAACCCCGATTATATTTCTGGGAAACGCATTTCTCAAGGAAGCCAAAGCAGTTGGGCAAAAGTCAAAACATGCAAGGTAAAGGATATGCAGACTAAAATGATTGGAAAAGGTCAAGGTACAGGTTCATACAATGAAGACTTAAGAGAATCACATAATTTAGAAACCATATAAAAAAGAAGAATATCTTACCTATTAGAAGAGTGAATACAACTCATAAAAATGCCAAAAACAGTACTACTTTAAATTCAACGGTGACAGAGCCCAAAGGACAGTTTAGGGATGGGCAACTCAACTTCTTAAAGATCATGGCTGAGAATGATTTCACTTTACAAACCGAGTAAACTGATCTTTCCTCGCTCTTCTGACAGTGCGTGAAAATAGTCACAGGGTGTAGATTTTGAAGGATTCTGCCAGGAAGGGTTTGCTGTGTTAAAGAGAGTGGAAAAACGTTAACGAGGTGTCGCCTTCATTTGCCCAATTAATTCACATTACTCACATTTCCTTTGAAAGTTGACTTGACGATTATCCAAAAGATACCTCCAAGGTAAATCAAACTCTTAGATAGTTAAAAAGATGATTTAGAAACATATAAAGTAGACGTTCTTTACAAAAAGTGAACAAGAGTATAAAAAAATAATTTATAAAAGAATATCTAAATCGACGTCTTCTCCAAGTAACGATAGCTCAAGTGGTTAGAGCAGCGGTGTATTGAGCGGAAGGTCGTGGGTTCGAATCCCGCTCGTGACACTAACTTTTTCATCTTAACCAAGATAAAAGAATAATTAATTGAAATAATTAATATGGTCAATTAAGATAGCTAAACATACAGTTTGAACCTATTAATCACTTCGGACATTGATGTCACTGTCGAGACTCGCCCCTTTTTTTATTTTGTTATGTTTTGTGAGCAGAGATCGTCCGGTGTTTGGTGGACGAAGACATTACAACCAAACATCCTAAGTACTGCTCAGAGGCTAGCATACCTGGGTATTACTGGGGTAATGAGAACAACCTCCCTAGAGTTCCTCCTGACAATCCTCCGTTCTTCATCCAGGGAGAGGCTATAGTCACAATCTAGACTAATGCAGAGACAGGCTTTAATAATCTCATAAAAATTAATTAAAACTTCTGGAGAACAAGGTAACCTGTTAATGCCATGACCCCAAAATTCTTATTTGATCAAAAGTTTCAAATTAAATTATATCATCTGGGAGAAAGGAATCCCAGTTAATTCCGTATGTGGTATGCATATGGAGACCGAGAGTGAGAAGTTACTATTTATGGAAACAAACCAAGGCCTATAAATGATATAAACCTTGGGCAATATACCACTGTCTTTCAGGTTATTGACCACTTGCCAAGGAGATTAAGGCTAGGTATTACCAACAAAAAGGTATACTTGCAAAGGAGTATCACAGCAACTACCTCATCTATAGTAAAGTCGAGAGTCGTCTGGAAAGGCTTCACGTCATCGATTCAATGGGAGTGAATTCCGAGACATAATCCTAGAAAAAAGTTCATCATAGGAAAACTTCTAAAACTAGAACGTTTTACTACTAGAATGATAATTGGACAGCTGACTGGACATATGTATATTCCTCCGGAGGCATATGCGTATTCTCGGAGCAGCAAAATCCTGTGAAGATATTTCCAGGAGAAAAAGAAACAGCGACCTCTGTTGGTGCGAAGGCTGCTATTCGTAGAAGTAATCCCATTGGTAGAAGAAAAGCCCAGGCCTAAAGTATAAACCCCTAATCCTTGACAATACTTTGGGATTGGATAAAAAAAACCTTGCGTAATGAGCGTAATGAAAATAAGGCCGTAAAAAACCTGACTTTTTTTAACCTTAACCATAAATATAAGATCTAATACTTCATGTTCTTGTAAGGAAAGTTGATTAATCCTGTTTGTTTCCCACTGTAATATTGTAAGTTGTTAAGAAGTAAAAGAAAGTATCTTTTTTCATTCCTGTACTGACCTAATTGATGTTCCTGCCTCTTACTTGCACTGTCACCAACTCCCTTGAAATTAAATCTGGAATCAAAAATCATTATTTAAACAGTTATTTGAACGGAATTTACACAAAAATGTAACAAAAGGTAAATTAATCGTAAAAATTTCCATGTTTAAAAATAACCTATAATGATAATTTATAATTTTTATGTATTATGACGCTTTTTTGCAAAACTTAAACTGTTTTGGCCCATAAACTTCGAAAAATTTCCTCTTGAACATACTATTCGAAAAATCCACAAACAGTACATACTAAAGCTTTATTACCAATGTAATAATAAATAATATAACGACTGTAAAATGCGTTGGCTGAAATAATCGGTAGATCGAAGTCTATTTGTTCTTTGAATGTGAAAGATATCGATTAATAAGCCTATTCGGTTATGTTGGAAGTAAAATTATAAAATATTATTATTTTATGTATTACATATTAAGCTTTTATGCAAAATTTAAACTGTTTTGACTTCTTAATAATTTGTTTATTTTCTTTTTACATTCGATTTGATTCGCATTTATTTTTGACAGTACGATTCGAAAAAACACGCCAAACAGTTACTAAAAATTAAAACAAATTTAATAATAAATTAGAAGGGGCGTCGGTAGCCCCAACGGTTTATGAGTTGACACGGCGCTCATCACTGTAAGGTAAAGGTCCCGGGTTCGAATCCAGCGACCCTATTTTCGAACCCGACATACTTACAAATAGGCTTTTTTTCAAAAACACCGAAACCCGAGGGTTTATATAAGCTCTTCTGTTGCCAACCCTAGTTTAAAAAAAACAATAATGATAAAAAATTTAAAAAAAATTAAAAAAAAATGGCAGGCTGTGAGATGCAACTACCCTGGATAATAGAATCAAATGAATTTTCAATCAAATGAAACCTTTTTCAATCCAATGAAAACATTTTTCAAGCAAATGAAACCTAAAACCTAATGATAATAATTATGCAGAGGAATAAATAAATGACATTATGGTACCAACAATAATTTTTATGATGATTGATTATTAATATTACAATAGTAGATGATGGGGTTTGGTCTGCGAGTTGGCGAACTCATGTTGAACCGGCACACGGGCACTACTGGGTCTGTCTTCACTCGCGGGTTTTTTGTTTGAGTTATTCAAACGCGTTTCGGCATTACGCCATCTTCAGTGAAAAACTGTCTGTCATTCAGTCTGAGTGGGGTTTATATATTGTTGCGTCCGTCGCTTGTCGCTGGGGGCGTTGCGTTAGGGGGCGTGGTCTCCGTGCTCGTTGGTCGGTCTTGGTGGCGGTTATTTTCATTGTCAGTTATTATTTGTGCGTTGTCGGTTTTTTGTTTTTTCCTGGTGTTGGTTGCGATGTTTTGTTCTTCTGAACGTTTTCGTTTTTTGTTATGGAGTGTTTTTAGTGGTGTGAAGGTGGTGTGTGATTGTGAGTTTGTTTGTGCGTTTATAAGTTTTCCGTCTTTAAGTGTTATTTGTTTGTATNGTTCAGAAGAACAAAACATCGCAACCAACACCAGGAAAAAACAAAAAACCGACAACGCACAAATAATAACTGACAATGAAAATAACCGCCACCAAGACCGACCAACGAGCACGGAGACCACGCCCCCTAACGCAACGCCCCCAGCGACAAGCGACGGACGCAACAATATATAAACCCCACTCAGACTGAATGACAGACAGTTTTTCACTGAAGATGGCGTAATGCCGAAACGCGTTTGAATAACTCAAACAAAAAACCCGCGAGTGAAGACAGACCCAGTAGTGCCCGTGTGCCGGTTCAACATGAATATTACATTAATTGAATCGTAAGGCTTAGGTACAAGAACGTTTCTTGTGAAGATCCGTATTCATCAAACTTTTCTACATCCCCGAACTTCCCCGTCGAAGTTCAATTAAGTGGGATAGAAAAGTGTTTTTGAGCGAGCGACAACTTTCTGTGATAGAAATTATGAATGATGAAATGGGTGTGGAGTTCAATCCTTTTTAAAAAGATGGTTCCTACTCACAGTAAGTTGTTTCGCAACAATCCGAATTTCGAGCTCTTTAGCTCATCATCAGGTTGAAGGGTATATATACCCACATTATATAACAATATATATTTATAATCTTCCTTTTTATATAATCGTCCTATATTGAATTTGTTGAATTTGAATTACAAAACTTTAAATACATTTTTGAGGTAATAAAAATGTATGAATAAACTACTAACATTTGAATTACTTGTGCCTTTTTATAAAACACCCCAATGTTTGGATTTCATTTTCTTGAAGTAAGGTTTCATTTGTTTGGAAAAAGATTTCATTTGATTGAAAAAAAAGTTTCATTTAACTGAAAAATGCTATATATCGATCCTTGAAGCATAGCACAGAAGTTAGTTTTGTAAAAGCATTAACAAATCGTTAATAATGACGTATATTTATCGGATTTTAAGTACGTACTTGTATTTAGTATTATAATAAATTATATAACAAATATAATGGCCGACCGTCAGATGCGAGATTCCATAATAATAGGTAGATCGATATCTACCGTTTGAGCCTGATGGATATCGACTACTTATGCAATTCGGTTATGTTATATATATAAAATAATTATTTAAGTATTAAGACGGTTTTATGTCAAATTTAAACTACTTTGGACGACTAAATGAAGTTTTTTGCCTGTAAAGTTGGATAGTCGATCTCTTGATCTATTTGAAAAACGATCCAAACTTATAGAAAAACCTAAGCTATCTGTATTAAACGCTAGTTTATTTTTGTTCCATTATGTATGTTTGGTATTTTAAACATAAACAAAATCGTAAATACAGAGTAAATACATATTTGAGTTTTTAACACGGCTATGAACAGAGAGTAGCATAAGGAAAGAATCAACTTGACCACAGTAATACACTTAAATAGTTCATAATGATCTTTATAGTTTTTTTAGCAATGGAAAAATACATCATATATATTATAAGTAAAGATTTTCTTAAAGACAAGACTACTTAAAGATTTCAAATTGCTGAGCATAGGTATGTATGTAAATCGGTGTATATCGATCCTTGAAGCATAGCACAGAAATTAGTTTTGTAAAAGCATAAACAAATCGATAATAATGACGTATATTTATCGGATTTTAAGTACGTACTTGTATTTAGTATTATAATAAATTATATAACAAATATAATGGCCGACCGTCAGATGCGAGATTCCATAATAATAGGTAGATCGATATCTACCGTTTGAGCCTGATGGATATCGACTACTTATGCAATTCGGTTATGTTATATATATAAAATAATTATTTAAGTATTAAGACGGTTTTATGTCAAATTTAAACTACTTTGGACGACTAAATGAAGTTTTTTGCATATAAAGTTGGATAGTCGATCTCTTGATCTTTTTGAAAAACGATCCAAACTTATAGAAAAACATAAGCTATCTGTATTAAACGCTAGTTTATTTTTGTTCCATTATGTATGTTTGGTATTTTAAACATAAACAAAATCGTAAATAGAGAGTAAATACATATTTAAGTTTTTAACACGGCTATAAACAGAGAGTACCATGCAGCGTAAGGGAAGAATCGACTTGATCACAACAATACGCTTAAATACTTCATAATGATCTTTATAGTTTTTTTTTATTAGCAATGAAAAAATGCATAATATAAATTATAAATAAAGTTTGTCCCAAAGACGACTAATTAAAGATTTAAAATTTCAGAGCATGGATGTGTATATACATCGATGTATATCGATCCATCCATACATAGCTCGGAAGTTACTTTTGTAACAAATCGTTAATAATGACGAATAATTTAAGTACGAACTTGTATGTAGTATTATGTATATTACAAATATTATAATCAATTAATTATTATATAAATAATAATTCACCGTCAGATGCGAGAGTCTAGAATAATCGATAGGTCGATGCTATCCTTGCGTGATATCGACTACTCGTCCAATTCGGTTGTGGCTTGTGCAACAAGTAAAACCGTTAAAGTTGTTTGTCTGTTTTAATCGTCCTACTTCAGTTTCAACCTAAGTTTATGACTTATTAAGTGAAAACGGTACTTATTAAGTTTTAACGGAGTTACGGACAGATTTCGAAATTATTGTTGTTTCACAGTTTTTCCCTTTTGACATAACATGGTTCGGCCAGGTCTTTTAACGGTGAAAGAGTCCCTTGAAGTGGCGAGAATCGCCAAAAAAGAAGAAAGGAGGACGTTGCGCCAGTCGATTTTAAACAGGCAGAGAAATATTCAAATCATCGAGGAAAAGTGTAAGAATGGAAATTTTCAAATATATTATTTTTATTCGTAACTTTTTCTTTAAAACTTAGCACTGTTGTATGCCAAGTCTTGATGGTCTAATGAGCAGCTTGTCTGTTCCACACCAAGACATTTGCATGGAAAAATATGTAAGCTTGGTCTACTTCCCAACTTACATCATCTTGATAATGATATTGAAGTAAGTAACCAGTGTATTTTATTGTTGTGATTCCAACGATATGTGATTTATTAAGTGTGTAGCGTTATGTGCAAATAGTTTGTGTTGATATATTTGTAGTGTAGACTACATCTTATCAGGTCTCAATGGGCTGTAAAGGAGAGGAAGAACACAGGAGAGCATCAGATACAATGAAATGGTACACAGATGGCTCCAAAACAAACGAAGGAACCGGACCAGGCGTTTTCTGTACAAGCGTTTAATGCGCTCTAAAACACCGAGTCAGCTCACCCCTAAACATCCTCATACCAAAAGTTTCGCAGTCCTGGCTAAGTATCCACAACAGCAAAACAGTTGCGTGAATGATTTTTGCATGGTGGAAACCCAGATTAATAACCCAATTTTAAACATTGCAATCGGATAAGATGTATGGTATGGTATGGTAGAAAAGGATACTAGGAAGAGGGGTTTGTACTCCCCAGGCTCTGCAGCCTTCTGGCTTATTGAACTTTCCTAGTTCCTTAGTTCAGTCAATAGACGCAATCCTTCTTCTTAGAAGTATCAAGTCATTGACTGTCGCTGCTGCAATTTGATTCACTAAGTTTTTTCCGTGCGTTAGGTTAAACCTCCATTGACTGTTGCTTCGCATTCGAAGATGATATGAGTGGCTGTTTCCTCCTCCTCATTACATAATCTGCAAATAGGATCATCGCTGTTTATACCCCTGTTGTTTAGATGTTTTCTCAGATGCCTGTGACCGGTAGTAGTCCTACCACTCCACTAAGTTTGGCCCTCTCCAATTGCAGCAGTGCTTTTGCCAGTCCTGGTTTGTGTTGTTTCATCATAAGTTTAATATATCTACCACTGCTGGAGTTTATCCACTTCTCCTTTTGTTTGGATGCTTGGATCCATTCTGCGATGGAGGATTCTATATTTGTTCTTGTTATCCCAAGAATAGGTTCGAGGCAGATTCCTGGGGGAATAGGTTCCTCCTCTGGCCAGTCTGTCTGCTTTCTCGTTACCAAAAATTCCCCTTGGCCTAGTACCCAAGATATCATCAGGTTGTCGTGTTTCCCCAGGTTTTGGAGATTTTGGATGCATTCACTGACTAATTTTGATGTGATTCTTTTACATGCTCATGCTTTAATGGCTGCTTGGCTATCTGATCTTATGAGGATTTTTTTGTCAGTGTAACCTCTTTTAAGATTTTCCAGGGCACAAGCATTGATGGCATGTATTTCTGCTATTGTATTCCCTGATGAGTTTGATTGCTCATGTTTTGGGCTTGTACAGAAGCCTTACACTAATAACTGCAGATTAAAAAAAAAAAAAAAAAAAGTCACTATTCTTTTTCAGGGTGAATTTATGTAAATTAATTTTGTTTTATACATGTTATTTCAGTGAATCCAGAACAGCTCAAACAAAAAAAAATAAAAGAATGGAAAGAACTGAAGAAAAAGAGGCTTGAGGAGGAGAAAAAGAACAAAAAACCTCCGTTTCGGTCATACATAGTTGTGAGGCACACTGGTAAGACCCTTTGCACATGAAATTTCAATTTAAAACAGACGTAACAAACTATAACTTTACAGGCTTGTCACCTTTCAGAAAGCCAGAGCCTAATTTAACAAAAGGTGCTGTTAAAAATAAAAGATCAGATCAAAACAGTTCTCAGACGAAATTACAAATCCCGAAAAACAAAACGGTAATTTCTATTTGTTTATTATGTTAAGTACCTACATTTGTTAAATACATTGTTTTTCCAGGGTTTTGCTCCAAAACTTAACCTTCCTCAGATACCATTCCCAAGTGTACAAGAGCGATCTAAAATGCCAGCTAAAAATGTAAATAATTAATTTACAACAAGGATTATGGATATAATTAATTGTAAATTATGGTGATATATGGGTTTTAATTTTTTCAGATCATCACATTTGGTGGCAGTACAGAGGAAAAACAAAAAGCTAATTCTAAAAATCTGGTATGTTTCCTTTTCCAGTTATCCATGCTTCAGCTATGGAATAAATTTTATATTTACAAAAAAAAAAAAAAAAATACAAAAGCTAAAAAAGAACAATATAGAAATATAATACTAAATAAAGTGTAATTTTTAGAACTCACACAGACCAAATACAAGAACGGCAGCGAGTGGAAAGTTATTACTAGCAAGTGATCCTGTGAGTTTATGAATAAATTAAAAAATAGTTTTATCTCTAGATTCTCTTTATAATGAAAATTCTTTTCTAACATGAATTTTCTGACTATTATGTTTTCTTAAATGAAAATGTCATTCCTTTGTTTGATAAACTTACAAAACTGATATATTACAGAATCAAAGGCCAACGAGGACGGCAGCCAGTGGGAAATTGTTCATGGCAAATGATAAAGTGAGTTTTTAACATTAAACATTTCAGTTTAGAAGTCAAATGCCACCCTGCTTTATTGGGCACCAAGGTGAAGTGAGAAATTTTATTTCATGCCATTGTTTGAGGATTTATTTCCCCTGTATCTAAAAATGGTACAATATAACATATTACATAATTATTTCTAATTCCACTAAACCCCTGAAAAATTAGTTAACTCTCAAATCTCCAATTACTTAGAATCCTCAGTTTACTTGTTCCTCTTCAATCTGGCTGGAAAAAAAGCGAAAATTTTGACTTAAATTTTTTTTAACCAAAAAGTATTTTTTTTAAATGCAAAAAAAGAACATTAACTTGGTTTCTTGTTAAAAAAATATTTTAACCTATTTCGCTACATTGCTTGGTCACTACAAAGATTCGAAGTGTATATGGCAGCTAGCTATTTGCATGGGTATTGTACATCATCATCATAATAATAATAATAAATTAAACATAAAAAAGGAAAAAAGACAATTTAGATTTCAAAGCATTTAAGGCCATGGATCTTGGATCCGTCTGCCAGAGGTCGTTGATTAAACAACCAGAAACGAAAAAATACACAATAAAATAAAAGTTATAGCCTACGCAATAAAAAGAAAAAAAAAAGGAGAAACAACAACTGCCAAAATGCGAAAAAGAACAAAAAGCAGGTTATACAATAGAAATCGAAAATTAAACTCATTAATTAATTCATATCTGTAGTTCCATGCATGCCTAGCGTAATGAATTAAGGGCCGCGAATTTGAGCCACTCAAAAACCGTAACAGGTCAACCCTGGGGAGAATGAAACATCCAAGATGCAACAACCCAGGGCTGAGCACTCCACCGAGAAGTTGGATGGGATACAGTTTCAATAGAGCGTGAATTACACAAAGAACAGATTCCCAATTCCCCTCTGATCCAAACAGCCGAGTTTTAAGTGCAAAACCTCACTTCTTAGGGTATCGTTAACGGTAACATATTGACATACATAGTTTTTGACTGAACAACATTTTTATGTCAATTACATAAAAACCAAAGCTTGTTTATATAAGCTCAAAAAAGGGAAATAAAGACAGCTTTCCAATTGTCAAAACACCACAGACATTGGGAATGCCTTGGCTGATGTAGCAATTTTTTATGCTATAAAAAATCAATTTAATGGGCTTAAAACAATTTTATTAAAAATTTAATTTTTGGCTTACTTTATTAGAAGTATTTTTTGTTTTTGTTAAAACTTTTTATATATCTAATATCATATGATGCTGCATATTATTTTCTTATTCAAGATAAAATAGCAAAACAACCGATTTTTAATAACAAAGGCAGAAAAACGTACTACATAAAAAAAATTCTCAGCTAGTAGGGCTTATTGGCAAGAATGCCTGGACCACGTTTTTTTTTTTTTTTTTTTTTTTTTTTTTTTTTTTTTTTTTTTAAACCTAGTGTCACAAAAAGTTTCAAATCAGTGATTGCCACACCTCTAGCCTTTCTTTGTTAGTGCAGAATAAATTTATAGCTCTTAAAATGACATTGTGTTTTGATGATGTTGATGATTGTCTTCAAAGGGAAACATTGGCACAGTGCTGACAGCTTTTAGGTGTTCCTGAGACGTCTCCTAGGGCTCCTAATGTTCCCTTAAGGTCAAATAGATAATTTTGTGAGGTGAAAATAGATAAATATGTGTGTGGTATTTTACTTTTATATTTACTTTCTTTAATCATATTTAATTTTTATTTATGTAGCAGATTGTTCTTGGTTTTTTATTGAATTTTGGAGATGAGTAATTTTGGGCTAACTTGTAAATTTTAAATGAGCTGGGTTCATATTCTTTCAAATAAATTTTATGGAATTGATTTATGTTTATTTTTATTTTGCTTTAAATTCTCTGGGGTATTTTTTGGCTTTATTTCAATTTGGAGGCGGGTCTATCCACGCAAACAGTCCCTTTCTGGCCAAATTGGACCAGAATATTGGAAAGTGTCCCAATTGGAAAGTTGCAGATTCATATTTGACGTGTAATAGCTAAAAATGTCTAAAGTCGTATAAATTTTCATATTTATCTATTCGTTACACCAAGAGTTAAAAACAAGTAAATTAATAAAATAAAAATGGTTAGGTAAGAAGAAAAAAAATGTTACAGGTTTTCCAGAGAACGAAAAGAACAGCAGCCAACGGGAAATTGCTCACATCAAATGATCAAGTGAGTTTTATTTTTAAATGAATGATCATAAAATTGGATTGATTAAATAAAAGCAACTTTTTATTTAGACAACAGCCAGGATTCTCCCTCAGAGGAATGCTAAAATTGCCAAATCTATAACAGCTCCTTTAAAGGTAACGGATATTCAATATTTGAAACAATTTAACTTTAATATTTTTTCTTTTTGAATTGGTTATTTGATATTTCAGTGTTTACAATTGACTGAAATGCCAATTGATTCAAGCAATAATGGCAAATTAAGTAGTGATCAGAAGGAAAACGCCTGTGATTCACAAGGTAATTTTATTTTAATTAGTTTTTTGTTAGGCATTTATACTTTGCATGGTATTTTACGGATGAATGAATGAAAAAAGGAAGTGGATTCTTAACGTATCACATTTGACTGCAGGTCTAAACATCCTCCATCCAAATATCTTGTACCTGACCCTTCGTTCCTACCTAACAGAACGATTCTTCTGAGTTTGCAAAGAATTGGACTACTACGAATTAGCCCTCTGGCAGTGGGAGTGCCACAAACCAGTGTGCTCATCTATACTACCTGACTACACTCTTCAACCCCCCTTCCTTTGCCAATGTCAAAGTTGTTCTACCCTTGATCCTGATTCTGAGTTGCTTTGCTCCTGAATGGAGTAAATCCTGACATATTACTATTGGTACATTAGCATTTTGTACCTATCTACTGTATTAGTCTGACTTTGCTCCTTCAAATTTTCACTTTTTACTATCTCTCTACCTATGGGAAAAGCTGTTCTTCTCTAGATCACTGCAGAAAACGTTTCAAGGAGTTCATCGTTCAGAAACCACAGAAATTCTTTGTGAACAGAATTATGTAATTACATGTAAGATAGCAAAAGGTATTGGAAGGAAATGGTTTATATATTGTTGATTACATTTCTTTACAAATACCTGAAATCTTCGTTGAATGTACCATTAAACTATACTCTGGATTTATTTTACATCCCACATATATTATGTACAAGTGATAATAAAAAAAATTATGGTTTCTTTTTATTTATAAAAGTTATGTATATATGATTGCAGGGTTTCAACGAGGAATACGACTCAGGACAAAAAACAAATGATAGTAATTAAAAAAAGTTAATTTTTCATGCTTGTTTTATCATTAAAAAAAAATGTATTCTTGATGTTGCATGCATATTGAGCATGTTTTATTTTTTTTTACTATTTATTTAAGAATGTTCATTTACCTTAGAAACTTACAAAAAAAAAGAAAGCCAAGGGACTATAATTATCATGTTAATTTTTATAGATATAATAATTTGACTGAATTGCCAGGGATCTAGTCATTAAAGTTCAAATTAAATTATTACACTGCAATTTTTTTTTGTTTCAGTAATTGTAAATATTTATATTTATTATATGATTAACAAATAAATTATATTTCCTTTTTTGTATATATATATATTTTTTTTAAATTTTATTTTAATTTTTGAAATGTTTCCTTGTTTTGTTTTTTCACTTTGGTATGTAATGAACGACCAACAAATGATACTATTGTGAAAAATTCAAAATCCCAAACTGGCCATTTGTTTCCATTTATTTGAAGATTGTTTAAATTTTCTCTAAGTCTTTTATGGATGTTGTTTTTTACCTGATAAAACATTGGTATAACAAATTGCCTTGTTTGTAATTTTTTTAATTACTTAGTGTCTAATATTTTGATCTTTTAGTTGGTTAAGATAATAGGTTTGGCAAAGGATGAGAAAAGTAAATTAGGTGGTTATATAGCAGTGTAACTCGCAAAAAGGATCCGGTTAAGGACGATTCCCTGTTTTAACACTACCATACAATAAAACTATAATTTTTAACATTTTTTGTAATAAGTCATTGTGTAAAAATGACCATGAAAATATGTACAAAATATTCATTTTAAGTAAAATATTCCAACTTGAATTCTTTATCGTTTTAATGACTAGAACTGTAAGAATGTATGTAAATGGAAATATAAATTAACAGCAATGAGAATTGTACAATTATATGAACATTCTGTAATAAAATAATTTTTTTTAACATCTTTAATGAATTTTGTAAATACTAATTTAGTAGAAATAAAATCCACAAATACACATTTGTAGCATTAAAACTCTTAAATAGAAACAACTAAAATAAATATAAAATACTCCATGGAGGCAAACAGACAACATTGAAATAATTATGTTAAAACATATCGAAAATTTGACATTATTTACAAATTTAGTTTTTTCGACGGGCCTTAAGGGATTGTCTCATACCGATTTCTCCTCGGGTCTAAAATTGTAAAGCTGGCGCTGTATTTCTTACAGTCGACCAATGCATTCGAGTCCTTTCTGTGCCAGATGCCGTGCCTGTTCTTGTAGCTGTTGCAGGCGATGATTCCGGACATTCCAGGAGGCCTTTCGCAAGGGATGGATGTGGTCGACGCTAAGATGGGTTTCGTGAGTCCTTTTTGATTTCCTATGTCAGGGAGCCCTCCATTTTTACTCGCAACGAGGATGTTATCCGCGCTGTTTCCAATCTCTTTGTACATTTTCCTTGGTCTAAACATTATTATGAACACAACAACGACGATTGCCTGTAAAAAAATAAAGAAGTATAATTATAATGTACGCCCTGCACAGATGTTATACAGTAATTTTATACTATTGCAATATGTAAATGTAAAGCTACAATTAGTTGAAGCAAAGAGAAAGCAAGGTCCCCCTTGAATTGTTAGAAGAGACTTTCGTCAATGTACTCAAGTGTTATATGTTGGTAGAAGAAACTAAAAAAGGTGGTTAGGAAAGTTACTCTTTCCAAATAACTCAAGTGTTATGTAGTGGGAAAAGATGTTCTAAGAGATTGAGTAGTTTGTCAGAGAAACTACATGTGGCACAAGAATTATGTTCTATGATACTAAAGAAGAGGGTTAGGAAAGATTGTCCAAGTGACTCAAGAGCTATATTGTTGGAAAATTCTTATCATGGGACTAGGGAGGAGTGTTGGCAGTGACTCAAGAATAATATTGGAAGAGACTTCATGTTGGCGAAGAGAAGTGTTGGAAGATTCTCCAAGTGACTCAAGAATTAGGTTGTTGGAAGTGGCTAAAGAAGAGAGACTTTTAAGTTAGGAGAGACTCTCCAAGTGACTCAAGAGTAATGTTGTTGGAAGAGATACTCTTTGTATAGGTGGAGAGAAGTATTGTTGGAAGACTCCAAGTGAATCAAGAGTTATGTTGTTGGATGAGACACTCTTCTTGTGGGCGGAGAGAAGTGTTGTTGGAAGATTCTCAAAGTGACTTAAGAGTTATGTTGTTGGCAGAGACTAAAGAAAAAAGACTTTTAAGTTAGGAGAGGTTCTTTCCAAGTGACTCAAGTGTTATGCTGTGGAAAGATACGTTCCAAGCAATAGATGTTGGGAGAGGCTCTCCATTTGGGTGAAGTCCAAATATAGTTGGAAGATTCTCCAAGTGACACAAGAATTACAGAGTTGGAAGTCTTTCTGCAAGGGTCTTAAGAGTAGTTTTGTGAGAGGGTACTCAAGCGGAGGGTTAGAATCGACTCCAAGTGGGTCAAGAGTTGTTGGAAGAGACTCTCACAAGTGGCTCAAGAGTTATGTTGTAGGAAGAGACTCTCTCCAAGTAACTCAAGAATTACATAGTTGGAAGTCTCTGCAATCGTCTTAAGAGTAATGTTGTGAGAGGGTACTCTCCAAGTGAATCAAGAATTCGGTTATTGCATGAGACACTCTTCCTGGGGGTGAAGAGAAGTAAGCGTTGTTGGAAGACTCTAAGTGACTCCACAATTAGGTTATAGGAAGAAGCTCTCTCCAAGTAACTCATAAATTAGGTTATTGGAAGAGGCTCTCTCCAAGTCACTCAAGAATTATATAGTTGGAAGTCTTTTTCAAAGAGTCTTAAGAATTGTATTGTTAGAGGGTACTCAAGCAGAGAGTTATGTTGTTGACAGACTCTCTAGGTGACTCGAGTTATGTAGTTGGCAGAGACTCTCCAAGTAACTCAAACGTTAGTTTGAGGGTATTCAAGCGGTGTGTTGGAAGAGACTGTCCAAATAGCTCATAAGTTATGTTGTTGGAGGAGACTCCAAGTGTCTCAAGAGTAGCGTTGTTGGAAGTGACTCTTCGAGTCGTTCAAGAATTAGGTTGTTGGGAGAGACTCTTCATGAGGCTTGGAAATCTTTCTCGAAGGGTATTAAGAATCGTGTTGTTAGAGGGTACTCAAGTGGAGGTTATGTTGTTGACAGAGACTCTCTCCAAGTGACTCAAAATTTATTTTGCTGAAAGAGAATGTATTCAAAAGAAGACTGGGATATTTACAACTGGCATTGGCAGAGAAGAAAGAAAAGAAGATCTATGAGTCACAGGAACAACCTACGTACAGGTGATTTCAAAATGTGGAAGCTGGTTTTGCCAGGCTTTGTTAAGTTTATGATGTTAATGAAACGTTTGAAATATCGATTTTTTGTAAGATATAAGAACACTTACATTGATTGTCGCTAGACCGACGATGGACATACTCGCATGCGGAAAGCCCCAACTGTCGTAGAAGATGCCAGCAATACTTGGCCCAATGAAAGCCCCGAGTGCAAAAGTAGATGTCCATAAGCCAGATATCAACCCGTAGGTCTCAAGGTTGTTTTCAAACCCGTGCGCACTGGAAAAGGAAAATCAAATATTAAAACAAACAAATCCGACAAAAATAAAGTACCATAACAGACATTGATGTTCGTAGCGCATCCGTGAACGAGGACACCAAAAGGGCAGCAATTCCAAGCCCGTGTGCTACAAGGCCGATAATGGTTAATGTGAAATTTCTAAAAAAAGGAATCGACATTAAAAATTTGCACAGTAATAGAGTAAAATCACGTCTTACGTTTGGTTGGAAATAAAAGGTGCAGGTCCAATTAAGAGGAAACCGACCATAATGAGAATACATCCCATAAGTGAAGCTGTTTTTGGTTCTATTTTCTTATCGCAAAGCCAGCCCCAGAAAGGTGCTGTAACTGCATAAGTTCCACCGTTGATAACAAACATCAATCCAAGGACCATCGCTGATAAACTGAACTAAAAATCAACCCAGATCACAATATTGAAATATTAGATAAAGTTCGAGTTCATTCATTTGGCATAAAAATTAAGCAGCAATTGCCTACCAAAAATATGTTTCATTTTGTTAAACCTACTGGAAATTGGTATTAATGGAAACATTAATTGAGGAATATTAGAATAATTTAGTAAAAAATAGTGTGCACTTTCAAGAAATTTTTGGGTTGCAAAAGTTATTTTGTCGATTTGGTTTCGTGGTCCGATTGACCAAGTAAATTCTTTTCAATTAATTAATCTTTAAGTAAGGTATTGTTGAGATAAAAATGTCAGTGTCACGAGCGGGATTCGAACCCACGACCTTCGGCTAAATACGCCGCTGCTCATTTGAAAAAAGGCAAAACGGAGGGAAAATTCGAAAGATAGGTTGAGATGAGAAGTCGGTGTCCAAGTGGATGGTTGGAAGTCACGATAGCTCAAGTGGTAGAGCAGCGGCGTATTTGGCCGAAGGTCGTGAGTTCGAATCCCGCTTGTGACACTAATTTTTTATCTCAACCAAAACCTTAATTAGTTAAATTTGCCGTAAGAAAACTTATTTACATTGCAGAATTGATAAAAAAAATGAAAAATTCAGGATCAGTGTCACTTTTTATCTCAACCAATACCTTACTTAAAGATTTATGATTTTGTCATGAGTTTATTGAATTTCGAGTGAATTTTCTCAAAATTAAAAATGTAGCAGTAGGAATAGTGGTATTTAATAATTGTCTGGACTTAACCAGAGGAACCTGTAGAATTAGCAAGTTTCCTTACCCGAAGGGTGTAGAAACCACAAGTCACAGGAAGCAGGAAAAGGCTGCAATAGCCTACATATATAAAATTGAGCAATTAACTCCAGGCAGACAAGGTTCTGGGGATGCCTGTTGTCATCATAATCCCAAAATTCAGTTCTGATAAGAAATTTTAAGCAAAAAAAGAGTTATAAGATCTGATAAAACCGACTATATCTGTGTACAGACCGAGCGTGGGTTAAGAGGTGGTATTTATGGAAATAAACAGAGGACTAGAATCCATATAAGCCTTCATCTGGTATCCAGACGGCTCTAAGACCAAGCAGATCAGCTGGTATTTATGGAAACAAACCAACGATTAGAATTCATATAACCTGTGGCAATATGTCATTGTATTTCGAGTGGTATAATTAAAAATATAGCCACTTACTTAGAAAAGGATTAAAGTCAAGTACCCCAAAATCCAGAGCCGTTTCAGACATCCTTGACAATAATAAAAAAACTTGTTTAAGTACCAGGACATAGAAGGGCACAGGAAACGAGGAGGCTGATTGATTGGTCAAGGAAAGTTCGATGAGGACAGGTATCGATCCTGAACCATTTTGCAACATACCAAATTGCTAAAAACGTATCAATCAATGTATTTGATGAGGCAGTATCCTAGGAAAAAATACGTTAAATGACCATTACGGAAATTAACTGCTGAACTACTAAACCTAGGACGTATTAGGACTAGAATGTTAGGTAGGACTGCTGACTGCAAACTGCGGACTCTGTACTTGGTGCAGTAGAAGCAATCCTGTGTGCCATTGCCAGGAAGTGCAGCAGAACTTGTCCTACGGTGTTGAGATTCCTACTCCTGGGACTGAGGACGGTTGAGGACGATAAAGAAAATGTTTTTCTGAAGCCTACATCACACCAGACCGCATCTCACGATTTCTTAATAATTATCGATTAACGGTCACTAATCACCACACATTGCTATTTATGTTTATTTCATTGCTATGTGAATATTGGTCTTTGATGTTAACTGTAAACATTCTTATTTTTATTTTTATTCTCAAAAATTTATTGGTAGGCAAGTTTATTTTATTTCTGACTTTTATGTTACATTTATGTTTTTCAACCCTTGCATTAAAGTAATGATTTTCCGGCTTTATTAGACTAAAATTTAATCTTTTAACTGTTGATTGCGTAATTAAATGAGTCTGCAGGAACTTTTTAATGTCGTAAGGCGGGACTTATTCCCCAAAAATCTCAGAGAGGGCGTGGCTTAATTGGCGGACAAGTCCTGGGTGTGGTCAAGGTTTTTTTAGAACACATTCTGATTTTGATTTTGACTTGCGATAATAAGTTATAATTTTCAAGTTCAAAGTGTTTGTTTTCCGTGTATTCGAACTCACTTTACACTATTATATATATTCCGCCATCAGCTCTCTTACACTACACATTCACGCCAATAAATACATTCACTCTCAACACAAGTTAGGTGAACAACACTATCAGTATTTTGTACAACAAAACCAACCAGTTTCTCTAAACAAATACCTGTCTATCTATATGTCTAGCTATCAATCTATCGATCTAACTTCATCTGTCTCTCGTTATCGCTCTATCTTGCTCTCTCATTCTCTCTCTCTCTCTCTCACTTTCGCCCTCTTTCTCTCCTTCTCGTTCACTTTTCTATCCTCCTATCTATCTAACTTTATCTTTCTGTCTCCCTTTTCTGTCTTTTCATTCTATCCATCTCTTTATGATCTACCTTTGTAACTTTGCATGTCATAGAAATAAACACGAGCATTAAAAACATTAAGACATTAACACAAAAATTATACCAATTGGGCACTCTCAACACGATCTCCGAATAATCGTTAAACGTAAAAAAAGCTTTAACCTATTTAACTTGGTTGGTCTTCTATCTGAATAGTGTAGTTTGATCAGTCAGATTCACTAGTGAAGATGGCAGAAAGGCCAAATGCAAAACAGCGAGGATGGGCAGAAAAAAATCATAAACGAGGTAATATGGTGCTCCTAATATGATATGGTGCTCCAATATCAATATGTCTCAAAAATCTACCGAGAACTGCTTAGAAACCGAGAAAACTGAGCAGTTAAGCTAAATAAGCAGACTACCTTGCTCGGGTTTTCAAAGCGGAATAACCTCCACCGTCATTATACAATAAAAACGGAAGTGGGACATTGTAATAACAGTTTTCCCCTCAGAACCGTCGTAGTATTCAGCGATTCAGTCCAATGTTCTTTAAAAAGGAAGTCTACTTTCAAAATTTTACTTCCTCTATATTATAAAGTGAAATTATTTTACCTGCCGCAAGTGTGGTTCGAGTGTGGCGGATATGAAACCTATGCTCATCGATGTTACAACTATGCTTCCAGCGGCGAGAAGAACACCGGGTATTCTTAAAACTTGGGTCAAACTCGCGTTCTGTTTAACCGTGTGTTCGTGGTCCGCGTGATCTGGAAGAACGAACGCTGTCATAACAGCCGAGAGAAAGAGCATAGACCCAAGGATCACAAAAGGTGTAGTGTATCCCCCAACCTGAAATTACATAAATAGATTTATTGGTAACAACAAAAATATGAATATTTTATCGTAAAAACCTCGTATAAGGCGCCTCCAACTGTCGGTCCGACGATTAATCCCAGGCCGAAAAATGTTTCAAGGGAGGCCTAAAAATGACGTAAGTTATATTCTCTATTTAAATAAGATACCTTACTTAACACAAAAAAATACTAACGAATGTTGTTGCTACATTGTTTGGAAATTCTTTTGCTATTATAGCAAAGCTGGCCGTCAAAAAGGCCGCATTTCCCATCGCTTCTACTGTTCTAATCACCAGAGATAAAGTTATGAAAGGGACATGGCCATCGATCTTATCTAAGAAACTAAAAAAACAAAATTTTGAAAATAACATTAAATTTATCGTCCTGCCCTGAAGTCTTTCTAGACGCTTTCTAGGTGTACGATCGCGTCTTGCATCCCTGATGGTCAAACTAAAGTACCGTTTCTTCCGTGTTACAGAACCTCAACCTCTCCGATCTATTCTATCCCTCTGGTGTTCCACAGGGGAGCATCTTAGGTCCGTTACTTTTGATATCGCAAACTTCCTTCAACAGTCTAACACATTCTCTTTTAGCTTTGCTGATGGGGCAGCAATTTTTTCTGCAAACCTTGATCCTAGCAGTTCAATCCCTCTAAGACCTTAAAACCATAGTTCCGTACATGTAGAATAAAAATAAAAGAAAAAAAATCCCAATAAGTGTCTTTTACCCTCAAACGAAAAATACTTCTGTTTATCTGTATCGAAATCCACTTCCTACGGCAGTTAGACAAAAGGTCGACATGGAATCAACATACGCAACTAAAATAGCAGAACAGGACAAACAACTGAAAAACTGCTAGTCATTTTGCTAGACTGCAACAATCAAGACAGGGTCGAGGTTTGTAGAGAGGATTGCTGTATCGCCAGGTAGTGTCTTGAGGGAAATCTACCGTCTATAAGTGAAAAGTAACGGACCTAGGATGCTCCCTTGAGGAACACCAGAGAGGACAGACTGGATCGAAGAGGTTCAGGTTTGATAGGCACTAGAAAAAAACGATCAGATAGGTACGATTTTAGGATAAATAGATTTGAGTTTCAGCATCCATGGTGCCAAATGCGATCGTCTAGAAAGATTCCAGGGTTAAGCAGTTCTTAACCTCTAGGGATGTTATGATGAAATCTACAAGACCATCAATTGGTGGATTGTGAACTTTAGCCAGGAATAATGTTGGTTGTGGATAAGATTTTTTGCATGGGCAATAGATGAAGCTTATCATGTATTTTCCCGATGATATGTAAGAGACTTAAAGGACGGTACGAGGATTTTGATGGTTTCCAAGTGGTGCCAGTACTTGGGCACTGTGTTGTAAGTCATGTGGAGTGAATACAATTGCTTGGTGTTGGATGACCCCGTTCAAATTTGTAGTATAACTATCTACCCATGGTGACCTAAGGAGGTATGGGCATCTGAGAAGAAAAATCACAACTATACTGGATGATAGTTGATATAGAAAGATATCGATAATCCATGATGCTGTCCTCCAGCTATCACCTATGCCCTAACATCGTCCTTTAAAGTAAAATTATAACAAGACATTAAAGACCTACCAAGGAAGAAATATAGCGACTGATGAACACCCACAAAACTCAGTGCTCAGTGTTCCTGACTGTACAAGACGACTAAAAAAACCAACCTTAACAGAAAAATATCTCTCCAGTCAAAAATCCTTCAAACGATCTAATTTCCTTGTTAGAAACCACTGTCCGAATTTCCTATATTCCTGGCCTAGCCAAATCCCGATACTTCAAATTCCAATCCAAATAGATCCCTCACCTTTTCACTCACTACTTACCTCGCGACCAAATGAGCACGTAAAGCCGTCCATCAGGTTATGTTTTTAATCGATGGTTGGCTCATATTGACGCTTAACACGCCACATAAGTGTTTTTGTGCATATAACCTATGCATGTGCTTATTGCATAAACTGCATAAAATACGTTTTCTAAAGTTTGTTGGACTTTGGGGACTTACCCAAACAAAATGGCGCAGATGCCAGTTGTGAAAATGCCGGCGTTGAATAGTACCTTAGGCCCGATCCTGTTTAACTGAAAAACGCCAAAAATTAATTACAAAAATACTATACTTAATAAAATAAATTATTTACATGCTGTCCGTATAATGGGCTGATGAGAAAGACGGTGAGTTCGAAAATGCCAAAAACCAGGCCGTATTCCGTCGCTGTCGCACCTTTCTTTTCAGCCTGGAAAAAGTCAAATAAAATTCTATTTACGTCTGGTCGTGCTTGATATTTAATCGGCAATACGATAATAAAATAATTAAGGAGATACGGCACATTTCTACCATTTAATTCATTCAAGTTAATTTCAATTAAAAATCTCTTTTATGTCATGCTCAGTAGGGTCAATTTTGTTTCACGGGTCAATCTATTTAGTGCAGATTAATGTTTCGTCTTTGCCTAAATGGATTTCCCGGAATGTATTTACTCCGAATAAACAGTATTATGTAATAAAAAATATATTTAAAAAATGAAGATCAGGAAAAGTTAAAAACCTTCGGCGTATTTTCTAGATAATTAGGAAAACAATGCATTTATGCAAATATTAAAAAATCATTCTCGTCAACTCAGAAAGTACAGTCTTTGAAGTTTTTGTTGCTTAAAGTCAAGCTCCCAGGGATAGAGGTGACACCTAAATATACAAGGGAGACGGCCAAGTATAGAGGCAATACCGAAATATGGAAGCAACACCAAAATTTGGTAGAAACATCAAAATATAGAGTGACACCCAAACTAGAAAGGCAACACTGAAGTCTAGAGGCGAGAATATATTCCAGATAGTGGGAAGAAAACGCATTCATATCATTTAAATTATGTTTATTAAACAATTATAGATAAATCAGAATATAAAGATTCTTAAATGTTTGTCGCTTAGAATCAACCACTAAGTATAGAGGTGGCATCAAAGTATAGAAACGACACCCAAGTATAGACGCAACGCCAAAATATTGAGGCAACACCAAAATATTGAGGCGACACCCAAGTATAGAGGTGATACCGAAGTATAGAGGCAACACTAAAATATTGAGGCGACACCCAAGTATAGAGGTGATACCCAAGTATACAACGGAGACCCCAAAGTATAGAGGAAACGCCAAAATATTAAGGCAACACCAAAATATACAAGGACGACACCCAAGTATAGAGGCAACACCAAAATATTGAGGCGACACCCAATTATAGAGGTGATACCGAAGTATAGCGGCAACACCAAAATATTGAGGCAACAACAAAATATACAAGGGCGACACCCAAGTATGGGGAGAGTATGGTTTAGATGCAAGCATATATTCCCGATAGAGGGACAAAACATTGCATTACTATCATCTAAATTATGTTTATTAAACAATTATAGATAATGTCGCTTAGTATCAACCACCAAGTATCGAGGTGGCACCAACGTATATAGACGACGCCAAGTATACAGGCCACAAATGAGTATTCAAATCCAGTTTTTCTACATTGAAAAGTTATTAACACTATATTATGAAAATTAAAAAAAGAAATAAACAAATTTTGATTTGTTATTTAGCATAATTTTATTACAGAGTATGTCATCACTCAGTCACCATGTAGAATTATAAAGGGAAAATTTTTGAAAGCGGTTTGCAGGATTTAGTTTCCCTATATTTTAAACAAATTTAATTTTTAATTTCCAGTCTTTAGTACTAATATATGAAGATAACGTCCATTTCGTTCGCTTCGATCGACTTTTGTATTCTATAGGGAAGCTTTCTCCATCTCATTGCAAATTTACAAAGGGTAGGTGGCTTTTGTCCTATCTCTAAAATAGATATCAATAAAAGTCATATACATTTCTCTACATTTCTCTTAATCCACCATGAAAGCCTTGGAGATGGTTTTGAATGATTGCGAACATCCTGTTCTATTCTGAATTAAAAATGTTCAAACTTGTCAAATCTCATTCTGACCTTTTCTTCTGTGATCCTAGGACACTATCAGAATGGTGTTGTGGCAACTGCATATCCCTTAACCCAAACAACCATCCTTATTTAATGAATGGTCATCTCATAGAAAGAAGAACCACCATTAAGGACTTACCTATGATCTATCTTTCCAGTAACATATTATTCATATTTGCTACAGTACTGTGAGATTTCCCAGATCTTTCCATATTGAAATTAATTTTCTGTTTAATAATCAGACCATTTAAGAATATTGGATCTTTAGAGTGATCACCATATTACAACAATAATTGGTAATTATTATAAGTTCAAAAATTGCCAATTTTCCATCTTCTAACTCTGGACTCGCCTATATAAGTAGATAAATAAAGAAATCTCTGTATGTATTTTGTAAAAAAAGTAAGTTTGTGTTTCTTTGTGACATAAAAGGTGTGACCCGCCAAAATTAATCTTTTTAGCTTTATGTAACTATTTCAGTTATTATTATAAGACGAATTACCTACGGCAATTTTTATCTGGTGTGCGATATCCCACCAGAGATAAATTTTTATTTTATGACCCTTGTTCTTACGTGATTTCTTTTACAATGGCACAAAATGAAGTAGTTCTTTGACAAAAAAAAAGATCTAGATTAAAATAAAATAAAATTAATTTAAAAATAAAAAACGATGTTTACAATTAGTTTTGCTAAGAAATTATTTATCGATGTCGATGCCATATTGAGATAAAAGGTTCCTGGCGTCTGATCGAAATCTCCATTCGAATCTCGGTTTTGTTTACTAATTTATTCTTGAATTTTTCGGTTAGATAATAAGATCATTGCAGCTTTTTCTTATAAATGTAAGCCTGCAGCCTTTTATGGAATACATATTATGCAGTAAACCCATTATAATTATTTTCATTACTACAATTAATTGTTCTTTTTATGTAAGGTCTTGGTTGAGATAAACAAGTCAGTGTGACGAGCGGGATTCGAACCCACGACCTTCGGCTAAATACGCCGCTGCTCTACCACTTGAACTATCGTGACTTCGATCCGCTCGGACACCAACTCTCAACTTTCAACCGTTCGAATTTTCCCTCTTTTTGCCATTTTTCAAATTGGGTTCGAATCCCTCTCGTGACATTTAACTTTCATCTCAACCAAAGACCTTAAGCGAAAAGAATAATTAATTGTAATAATTAATATGGTCGATTATGGCTTCTAACAAATATGGATTAATTTTTTTTAATGTTTGATCCTAATCAAAAATCAAAAGCGTCCCAAATCGTATAAAATTCCGCCTTGTAAACTTTAATTTAGTAAGCTTAATTTGTCTATTGTTGTATATTTATTTACTGTTGTTTACTATTTATTAGGTCATATATTTATAAAATTAATCTCACGTTTGAACAAGAAGAATTACATTGTTTTTTAGTCCGCAGGAAAGAAGGAACCAGCAAAGGACCCCTTAGAAGTTAGCTTAAAATATACCGATTTGACCCTTCCTTTATGAACAATTCTCACATAAAAAGCCCATTTAGGCGTTTCGACTACCCCTAACCTCCCCCCCTTCATGGTTTTAACTTCAAATAATTTGGCCGTGGTCTGCCGGTATGGGGGTCCTTTTTAAGAATGGCGGGGAGGTGGGAAAAAGATAAAAAAAAGGATACTGCATGAATTCATTATATATATTCAGAAAGTATCTATGAAAACTTGTCTCAACACTTCTAAAAAATTTCCTTGGCTTTAAAAAACGAGTTTTTTAGATTTTTTAAAATATTTTAAAGATAGACTAATGCCGTCCTTTCGCCTTATAACCAGATCAAAAGAATATTGACTCGAAATTCCTACAGACTCAGAAACCAGAAAACGAATTATCTAAACAACAATCCAACAGCAAACGAAACACTATTAAGCAGTTATGGCAAAGATAAATGAAAACATAAATGAGAAGGGTATTAGATAGATAGATAGATAGATGGATAGAGAGAGAGTAGATAGATAGATAGATAGATAGATAGATAGATAGATAGATAGAGATAGAGAGAGAGAGAGAGAGAGAGAGAGAGAGAGAGAGAGAGAGAGAGAGAGAGAGAGAGAGAGAGAGAGAGAGAGGAGGAAGAGAGAAGGGGGAGAGTTGAAAATAGAAAAGTAGAATCACGGGAAAGAAAAGGTGATAGAGGGTCTTATAGATAGATAGCGAGAGTGGAAAGAGAGACGGAAATAGAGCAATAGGGCGACATCCAGAAAGATCGTTAAGTTGTTATGATGGTATAATATCTAAGTATATTTTAAGACCGTCAGAAAGAAAATGAGAGAGAAGAGAAATAGATGACAGAAGGAGGAAAATAGATTTTTTTTCGTGTTTCTCTTTTTCTACAAATCTGCCTTAGATATCATTGTTAAAACAAAATTACAAATCGCAATTAAAACAAAGATTTGTCATTACATATCTGTGTTACTAATTTGAATTTGGACGTTACTATGACTTCTAAGATGTCTATCTTTTTTTTTTTTGTTTACTTTTAACTTCATAGGAGGTACTTCCTTTATTTAGTTCATGTAAATTATTCTTAGGGGACACCAGTCCCAGAATAAAGTTATTTTTCTTCTTCTTCTTCTGAAACTCCTGGATCAATTTTCTTTATTGTTTTATTTTATATTTTAATGAGCGATTAAATAATTATTTTAATTACAATTAGTATGTAAACTTGCAATGTGAAAATAACATGATGTATGTCTGTCAGTTCGGACGCTATTCACAATATATATATATTATCAAAATATGCAGATATTTAGATGTTCTTAAAATAAAAGTTATGCTGGCTTAATGTTACATAAATATAATAATCCTGCTACAATAATTAATTGCATTAATTTTAATTGAGTCTGTTTTACAATCTCTTCAAGGCAGTACCTGAAATCGCCAGCTTTATTTTGATGAAATAGCAAATTTTGAAATTGTAACAACGCCCCGCGTCACTGCGTGTCTGACTTAACATAGAAACAAAATTTAAATTACTAAGGGTGGACTACAGCTTTATCGGTCCTTTTTTCTACTTTTCCACCCTCGACTGACGACACATTGAAACTTTGGGATAAATTCAAAATTTATTTTAGAAATAGCACGAGTGTTCTTTCTTCAGAAGAAGAACCGCCGAGTGATCCACCAGATCGTTGTTGTTAAAGCCGTCCTATCTTAAGTTCTGTTTTAAGCCCTGATTGTGATCCCATATACACACTGATGTAGTATCCGTAAGATGAGCCAGGATGGGCGTCCAAAATTACCCATAACGGCATGAAAAAACATAACCGTTTGACCAATTAAAATGTTACAGTTTACTTGCTATTGACTAGATATTCGCAATGCCCAAAGGATGGCCTTAATGGCCTTATAAAGCCAAAAGCTTGGCAAGTGATTGCAGTTTCTTTCTTCTTTTTGACCATACATCAGATCCACACCTGACAACAATACTCTTGAATAGTTAATAACTTTAACAATTGTTTAACACTTAATAATTTTTGAAATTAAACTAGACCAATACACTAAACGTTAAGTATTTTACAACTTAAAGTGAAAACTTTTCCTTGCGATAAGGAAAAAAGCTTACCTCTCTTGGATAAAACGGTGCTTGAAGGGAGACGCATATCGCGTTGCAAAAATCAGCTATACCGAAAGTGATGAGCGTCAGAATTTGCCTTCTATTGAAGCTCGCCAAATGTTTGAACACCATCGTTGAGCACTGTTTTTCCACTTCAACTTCAGAATCGGCAGCTAGTGCCGTGGATATTCTCGTGGCCTTCGCTTAGACGAGCTGTCTCTGGCAATAATGTTCGACGAGTGATCCTTTTTGGAGCAGAGGCCGATTTATTTCCTTATCATACTGTACTTTGCCCCTTGGTCAAAGAGGATCTCTGCCTTTCCTATCCGCCGGGAATCGATACGGACAGATTCTAGACAAAAACTTTCCCTCCTTAATTTTAACATTGATAAAAATAATCTCCGATCTAACGTTTACACGAGCCGTAATAGACCGTCCTCTCGCCTTACAGCAAGATCAAAAGATTGTTGATTAAAAGTCCTACAGACTCAGAAACGAAAATATGAATTGTCATCTAAACAACAATCAAAAAACGAACTATTAAGCAGTAATGGCAAAGAGAAATGAAAAAATAAATAAAAAGGGTATTAGATACATGGATAGACAGACAGATAGATAGTTAAAAAAAATATATATATAGAGTGAGAGAGAGAGAGAGAGTGAGAGAGAGACAGGGTGAGAGAGCAAGAGAGAGAAAGATAGAGAGAGTTTGAGTGAGTGAGCTGAGGGAGAGTTGAAAATAAAAAAGAAGAACCACATCATAGAGAAATAAAAGTGAGAGAGAGATAAATAGATAGAGAAATACAGATAGAAAGAGAGAGAGAGAGAGAGAGAGAGAGAGAGAGAGAGAGAGAGAGAGAACAAGAGTGAACGGGAGAGTTGAAAATAAAGTAGAAGAACCACATAGAGAAATAAAAGTGAGGGAGAGAGATAAATAGATAGAGAAATATGGATAGAAAGAGAGAGAGAAAGAAAGAGAGAAAGAGAGAGGGAGAGAGAGAGAGAGCGAGAGTGAGCGGGAGAGTTGAAAATAAAGAAGAAGAACCACATAGAGAAATAAAAGTGAGAGAGAGATAAATAGATAGAGAAATATGTACAGAAAGAGAGAGAAAGAGAGAGAGAGAGAGAGAGAGTGAGAGAGAGAACGGGGGAGTTGAAAATAAAGAAGAAGAACCAGATAGAGAAAAAAAAGTGAGAGAGAGATAAATAGATAAAGAAATATGGATAGAAAGAGAGAGAGAAAGAAAGAAAGAAAGAAAGAAAGAAAGAAAGGGAGAGAAAGAGAGAGAGAGAGTGAGTGAGAGAGAGATGCTTGATACTTTTATTTATTAAGCGTTTCAGCATAGGCCATATGTCTTTTCTTCTTGCTACCACCGCTAATTATTTAAATACATATTACCTCTTGGTAGTTCAATTTAAATATTTAAGAATACAAAAAATTATAATTCAGTGGAGTACAGCAAATATAATAATGAGTGGTATGTATTACTATAATGTGAGAACACAATTTAAAAAAACAAAAAAACAAGTACAAACAATTCATTTTAACAAGCAACTTAATAGATGTAAGATATAAGTGAATACATAAGTAAATAACTACTGATTTGTTTCAGTAAATAAACCCAAATTTATCATCAAAGCTTTAAACTAATACTTGCAAAATAACAATTCAATTTTATCTACTATCGAGAGTACTAGAGACAATTAAAAAAAGCATATCTTATAGTAAATAATAACGCAATTATTAAGATTTATAAAAAAACATATTAGATCTTTGATAAATAGATTGTTTAGTTTATGCAAGTAATTATTTGTTTTAACGCCATATTCATTTATCAGGATAGAGTGCATTTTTAGCCTGTTAGTTGCTACAGAATGTTCACAGTTTAAGACTTTTGAGAAAAGATTGAGATTACGCGAGGTTTGTACCAGAAATGATTTGTTGTATACAGATGTACGGTGCTTGGGTATTTGTAGAAGGTTGACTCTTGAGGATTATTTCTTAATCGATGCCATGAATGTAAATCTTGAGTATAGGTAAATAGGTTTTTTGAATTTTACTATTTTTAATGTCGTTGTGAATGTTTTTAGAGTGATACGTATCTTTATTTTTAGCCAATTCAATTTCACATAATATGGCGTAACATGCTCAAATAGTTTCAAATTAAATATGTAGCGAACACAGGCATTTAAAAATTTTTGTAATCTATTGAGATTTTCGTGGTTGATGTCCAGGCACGGTTGAAGACAATACTCGATGTGTGGTATAATGAGGGATTGAACCATTTGTTTTTTAATATTTAAGTCAAGCTTTATTGTCATTGTTCTTAGTTGATTAAGATAATGAAGGGGAGAGGGAAAGGAGGGGAGAGAGAGAGAGAGAAAAAGAGAGTGAGAGAGAGAGAGAGAGAGAGAGAGAGAGAGAGAGAGAGAGAGAGAGTTACATAGATAGATAAAGATACTGTTACAGTCCTTGGCAATTCGGTCTTCAAGGAAATTTGAGATCGCATGTAAAAAACATAAATATGTCAAACTCGGGAAATATGTCATTTTTTATATTGTCTGTCTCTAGAATGAATGTATTTATTAGAGTAAGTGTGCAGTGTGAAATGGGCGACGGTGGTATATTGAGTAACCACTTGACCCTGATGCGGTTCTTTTTTCCATTGACCTTCTTTTACTCTTGCCACGTCTTTTATACTTCATCCTATTTACTTTTTTCTCAAGGTCTATTTCTGTTCATTTTGCAGAGTTTATTAGTCTCAACATTAATCAATTCAAATTAAAACAATACAGTAAGCTACAACAGAGGATGAGGATCAGGGAGACCAATAAAGTTAGAAAGATGTACATCTAGATCATGGATCATAAATAGATAGAAAGAAGGAGAGAGAGAGAGAGAGAGAGAGAGAGAGAGAGAGAGAGAGAGAGAGAGAAAGAGATAAAGATACTGTTTCAGTCCTTGGCAATTCGGTCTTCAAGGAAATTTGAGGTTGCCTGTAAAAAAACATAAATATGTCAAACTCGGGAAATATCTCATTTTTTTAGATGTATATCTAGATATATAGATATATCTAGATCATGGATCATAAATAGATAGAAAGAAGGAGAGAGAGAGAGAGAGAGAGAGAGAGAGAGAGAGAGAGACAAAAAAAAAGAAAATTTGAGAACGCCTGGTAAAAAACAGAAATATGTCAACTTGTAGACATTTTTAAGATAGTTTTGCACTGATGATGACTTTAAAATAGGTCGAAAGCTAGGCAGTGAAAATTGGATTTGCTGTATTCTTCAAGATCATACCTTGATTTACAGTGTTCTTGAGTAGATAACTAAAAACGAAAAGTAAAAGATAGGAAGAAAGCGAGAGAAAAACAGGGAGACCAATAAAGTAAGAAAGATGTATATGTAGATATATCTAGATCATAGATCATAGATAGAAAGAAAGACGGAGAGAGAGTGTGTGAGAGAGAGAGGGAGAGAGAGAGAGAGCCCTGTTTTCAACTCAAAAAGAAATTTATGTTTAAAAAAAATTTAATTCTATTTTATATTTAAAAACAAAAAAGTTTTTGAGAAAATTATGGCTGACACTAGTAAGTTGACACTCTGTATATAATAAATTCAGACTCTGCCCAACTCCAATTTATTACTGCTACGATACGCCGCTGTTGTTAAGGTTCGATTATGTACCTTCTTGCTATTGATCATGGGAATAATTGTTCAAGCGAAATTGGTCCCATCTGACAGCGGTAAATCATCACTGACAGTTATCGTTCCTTAGTGTTTACTGATTCTTGAAGCAGAGACACCATAATGTTGAAACGAAATGTGTGTCATATTTATTGTAAATGTATTAAATCGACAATTTTTTGCTGTGTGAAAACAGATTTTTCAGCGCATGTAGGAATTGATTTTGTGATAAACCTGTAGTTTGATCATGCGATTTGTTATTTGTTTTTGTATCCCCTCCCTACGTGCATGTTTTCTTTTTTCTTTAATATAGTTTTGCCGATTGGACACAACGATAAAACAATTTCATTTCGGAACAAAAAGGAGGACATATAAGATAATATTAATAACAAGATTATATTAGCGTTTTTAACAATCATTTAATTTCTGCAATCAAGATATAAATGTTTAGATAAGTTTATGTACCAATTTCATAAATATTATAAAATGAGTATTACTAAGTTAGTGTGGATTTTACTAATAATTATCTTTTTCAGGTTTTTGTGTGTGTATTCTATCAATTATGTTAACTGCATATATTTACTGCTATGTTTTATTTAATAATTCATACTTCCAACTATGTGTTATTTATTGAAATTCCAGTTCAGTTCTTTAATTAACTATTTATTAATTGGTCAAGCGGACCACGAAATTAGTGAATTTAATGATTAAAAATGAAGTATACTTCACTAAAGCTGTCCGTGGCCATTTCATTTGTCGTCGAGAATCCAACCCGTTTACACGACATTTGAAAAATGGCAAAAAGCAGGGAAAATTCAAAAGGTGCGGTTGAGCAGCGGCGGATCAAGCCGAAGATCGTGGGTTCGAATCCCGCTCGTGCCATTGACTTTTTTATCTCAACTAAAAACCTTAATTAATTGTAATATATTAACTGGTCAAGCGGACCACGAAATTAGTGAATTTAACTATTTATGTTTTGTAATGAAACTCTATATTAATATATTTGCAACTGATGAATAATTTTAATTGCCTATGTCTGTATATCTGTAAAATAAATAAATATTATAAAAAGGAATGTAACTCAATGTGACATGTTCGTTAAGTTGATGTTTAGTTTGGAACAGACTGGAAAATTTGGATAATGAAGGGGAGAGAGAAAGGGAGTGATAGAGAGAGAGCAAAAGAGAGAGAAAGATAAAGAGAGAGTGAGACAGAGAGAGAGAGAGGGAGAGGCAAAGAAAGAGAGAGAGAGAGAGCGAAAGAGAGAGAGAGATAAAGGGAGAGAGAGAGAGAGAGAGAGAGAATGATAAAGATAGAGAGTGGGTGAGAGGGAGAAGTAGAGAGAGAGGGAATGATAAAGATAGAGAGTGGGTGGGAGGGAGAGGTAGAGAGAGAGAGCAAGAGAGAGAGAGAGATAAAGAGAGTGTGAGAAAGAGAGAGAGGGAGAGATAAAGAGAGTATGAGAAAGAGAGACAGGGAGAGGCAGAGAAAGAGTGAGAGAGCGATAAAGATAGAGGGTGGGTGAGGGGGAGAGGTAGAGAGAGAGCAAGAGAGAGAGAGAGAGAGAGAGAGAGAGAGA